ATATTTTTTAAAATAATAAAATTTGTATCATTCTGCGAAGCCTAAATCTTCTTAAAAGTTATTTTCAACATTTGGCGACCGTGACAGGACAAGGGGTTTGTGTAAAATCTCTCTGCAATAAGATTGTTAACATTTTAGGCTGATTTTTAAACGATTTGTGTATCGTTTTCGTTTGTACGACTATACGCTTTAAAGATATGGATCGGGCAACGAAGTCGCGTTCAGCGGTACGTAGGGCGTTCACGACGATCGCAAATAAGTTGACTGAGATGATAGAAGCAGAATCACCAGACATTAATAACATTCGTGCCAATTTAGAGCTGTTTCATGATAAAGCTGAATCTCTACGACACGCCAATCAAGAGATTTATGACTTGATGTTGGATGCTGACGCTACGGAGGATCAGTTAGATACGGAAATAGCATGTGTAGATAGGTATGAGTTTTCTTTTAAGAGCTTGAATCTGCAATGTGAAGAACTAGTCTCTTCTGCTGTGATTTGTAATAATGGAGTTCATAACGAAGCTCAAAGCGTTTGTAGTGAAACAAATAGTAACAAAGGGATCTTCCGCAGAATCAAGCTGCCTACTATTGAATTTAAAAAATTCAATGGTGATATACGTAATTGGTTGTCATTTTGGAGTCAATTTCGTAAGATACACGAGGACAATGTACTCACTAATGAAGATAAATTTCAATATTTGATTCAAGCAATGTCTTCAGGTACTCGTGCAAGTGAATTATTAAATAGTTTTCCTCCCACGGGCGACAATTATACTGAAGCTATTGAAAGTCTAAAGGATCGTTTTGGGAGGAAAGACCTATTAGTTGAAGTCTACGTACGGGAGCTATTAACAATTATTTTAAATAAGGCATTGTCTCCTAATCAAAAACTAGGTCTGTCTAGTTTATATGATCGTATTGAAACACAATTAAGAGCATTAAGTACTCTTGGAGTGACAACTGATACATGTTCCGCTATGCTATACCCTTTAGTCGAATCTTGTTTGCCAGAAGATTTATTAAGAGCTTGGCAACGATCATCTCAGTTTTCGGGTAATGCTGGTGGAACATTAAAAACGAGATTAGATGTTTTAATGTGTTTTATAAGGCCTGAGGTACAAAATGATGAACGCATTAATTTAGCTGTTGAAGGGTTTTTACCTCAGACAGATAATAAAGACAAGAAACCCAAATTTAAAACGAGTGAGTCGATACCGACTGCAGCAGCTTTACTGTCAGTAAACAGTCTTGCAAAATGTTTGTTTTGCGAAAAAGATCATGCTAGTGAGTCATGCTTTATGGCTCGGAAAATGTTACTGTCGGAAAAACAACACATTTTAAGCAATAAAAGGGCATGCTTTTCTTGTCTAAAATTAGGACATAACAGTAAAAGATGTCGTCAAAGGCTAAAATGCATCATTTGTAATGGTAAGCATGTACCACTCATGTGTTCAAATTTAGCGAGCAATAAAGCTGCTACTTCTGAGAACATTGTGGAAAGAAGTCATCAAACCACTTCTGTTGAAAAAGCATTGTCTAATATTTGAGACAGACACGTTTTTTTTGCAAACTCTTAAAGTTTTGATCCGTAACGATAATACTATGCGTGAAGTACGCGCAATAGTGGATACTGGTTCTCAACGTTCTTACATTTTAAGATCAACTGCAGAAGAATTAGAATATCCAGTTAAGAGGCGGGAGAAAATTATTCATACCTTATTTGGGGGTACCAGTACTGATGAGCAAGATCATGCGTGTTATGATGTAAGGGTCTTAGATTTGGATCAGAGGTATGCTTTTCGATTCGAAGTTTTAGAACAATCGATTATCTGCGACAATATACCAGTCTTTAATGGACCATAGATGAATGAATTAGACAGATTGCAGATAACAATATCGGATGTTACAAATTACAATCGCCACTCCGGTGGAGATACTCATAGGCGCAGATGTAGCTGGAAAATTACTAACAGGCAAAAAGTATGATTTATATTGTGGTCCGGTAGCTGTAGAAACGTATTTGGGTTGGACATTGTTGGGCAAAGTTCCTGTTCTAAACAAGCCAAAAGGCATTACCACAATGTCTGTGACCTCGATTTTATGTAAAGATGTTACCAACACAAAGTTATCGAATTTTGATGTTATCGGCATTGTTGATCATGTTGACAAACAATCTAAAAAAGATTGGAGACATATGTCATTAAATCCTACAGACTTACCATCACGTGGATGCTCACCAAAACAATTGTTGGAACCGCGATGGTGGGAGGGACATAGTTTTGCTGTATAGTCTTCCAGAAAATTGGCCAGAATTTGATTAACTTTCCGCCCTGAATGAACATGAAATTAATGCAGAACGTCGGAAGAAATTAATTGTTTCAATGATCAATTATGAATGTTCCTATTGGTATAATGAACGATTTTCTAAGTATGACGACTTAGTATCTCTTTTTGGTTGAATTCTACGATTTTCATATAACTACCGTAACAGTGAAGATAGACATATGTCTCACGTGTTGTCGGCTGAAGAACGAGAAATCGCTGAAAAATGTCTGTTGAAATTAATTCAAAAAGATTCTTTCGTTGATACAAAACAATTGTCATTTTTATCTCCTTTTGTAGATGCTGAAAGTATTATACGATTGAAGACTAAGATATCACATAGAAATGGTGAACTGGACTTAGTATATAGTGATTGCGGAACAAATTTTATCGGTTCGCGAAACGCATTATCAAAAATTGACTGGTCCACTATTTTAAAGTATAGTGCAATTAATCGCATAACGTGGTATTTTAACCCACCAACCGCCGCGTGGTGGGGCGGATTTTGAGAAGGAATAATAAGAATTTTGAAATCTTTACTTCGGAGAGTACTAGGCACCTACCTGAATTATGAAGAATTGGTATCGGTTTTGTGTGATTGTGAAGCTATAGTTAATTCAAGGCCAATCACATATCTATCAGATGATCCATCGAAACTCTCTCCATTAACACCAAATTATTTTCTACAAGAACAACGGGATATTGGTGTACCTGACTTGGATGCAAATAAGCGGATTGCATATCGTCAGAAACTTCAAGAAAATCTTAGTCAGCGTTTTATAACAGAATACTTGGGTCAACTGAAGTTGTCTTCCAAAGGAAAGAAAAATATTCAAGTTCGACTGAATGAAATTGTGCTGATTGGTAATGATCAGGATAAACGAATCTACTGGCCATTAGAAAGAATTACAGAAATATTTCCTGGAAAGGATCGTCAGGTTTGGCTAGTGCGACTTAAAACTGCCGAGGGGATTGTATTACGTCCAATTCAACGACTCTACCCTCTCGAATGTTTTGATTCGATTGAAGAGAACTTGGACAACTAAAATTCATCGTCGCCATCAGGTGTACCATCGGATTTGAATGGGTCTTTAGAAAACGAGCATTATGATTCTACTTTAAATGATGCACAAGGTACAAGCAGTGGCTAATGTGCTAATGTACCTAAAGTGAGTAAAAGTGGCCGAATTATTAAACCAGTTTTGCGTTTGTCTTCATAATTTTTGTTCACTAATGGTTTCGTTCTCAAGGTGGGAGAATGTTGTAAATGGTTCATGATTATGTATTTTTTAACAATTATCAAATGAGTAAAAGTAATAAAAAAGTCAATCATATTTTGAATAATAAAATTCATATCATTCTTAAGAAAATCAGAAGCCTAAATCTTCCTGAAAGCTATTTTCAACAGTAATTGTGAGCCTTCTGGGTTTTTTTTAATTACGCGATTCCGTGGTCTACCAAATTAATTTTATTTTAACTTCACGGTTTTACCTTTTACGCTACAGAGACGTAGGTATAATGTATGATTCCCAGACGGGAATTTAGTGCAATAATTACATGTAAAAACATTAAACCGTATCATTCAATAAATATACAGCAATAATTCATATAAACACAGATCTAATATGGTACGTTTATTGGATACCTACAGGGTGAAACCGGTAAAAAAGATCAAAACAAACTTGAGATTTAAACAACCTGGATTGATATAATTTGAAACTCATATTAGGGCATTTCATCGTCTAGATTAGTTTAATTATTGCGCAAGCACGCGAGTTTTAATTAAATCAAGTCGCGAATTCATAGACACTGTCAAAAACTAATTTAATTTAGTGATGTTACAATAGTGACTGTTGGAACTTTTAGTGACGGTGGCCGAAGCAGGTAAATGTAGTTGAACATTTTTCGCGTAAGAGAAAGGGTAAATTAATTAAGATGAAATGCTCAAATGTGCGAATATTGTAGTAATCAGAGAAGTTAGATGTAATAAACTTGTATGGAATTCAGTAGCTTTCATTTAAATGTAAACATGTTTAGCGCACTTATCAACGTTCAAAAGCAAAAGTTTTCTCACTTTCCCCTTTCGGGTAAATATTTAATAAAATGAAGCCGAATAAGTGAAATAAAACCGCACATGTATGTTTACGTAACAATTAAATAAGAACCTATGTAAATTAGTTACGCCACGCCATGTAAAAGAAGCGAGCAAAATTGAATTTTTTTTCGAGAAAGCAAGCGTAAGAGATTGACTCTTTAAGCTTAGGGCTATACGTTTAAGTAACTTATTACGCTGCAATCGATTTTTAATAGAAATAATTTACACAGTAAATTGAAACGACAACTTTCCCTTACTTATAGTAATCTGTAAGATAACGAAACCTAATTTCATTATTCTCGCAGAGGAAGTAAATTACATGGTTGAAAAATGTTTGGCTGAATTAGGGATAATTTCCTCAAAAGCAAATCGATCTAATCTTAATATTCATCACAAATTTTAAAATACAGGTAAGTTTACGCCGTCCGCGGGTATCCGCGCTGCATCGAGCGTTATCCAGGGTGGGGGCTCGCGGCCGGGTTGTAGCGCAAACTCGTAGTTCGTAGCAATCTTATGTAGTACACACATGCCGCCACGCTGTAGTTGCTACGTATCGCTGACACCACGCGAGTTACACGCGCACACCGCTACAGGTGAGTCGTATATGTGGTGTAGGTCAGTGACCGTACATATAGGTATCAATCATGGTAATTTTTAATAACGATAACTTTTGAAAATATCCGTACAAGTTAGTTACATCTAAATATTTTTTCTCTTAATATAAAAACCTACTGAATTCTTATACAGGTAAAAGAAGCCATCAACGTGCAAATAAAATATGCTGTAGCACGACAAAATATGCGTGGCCAACATCGACATAGTATCACTCAGCTAGAAACAAACAAAACGTGTTCGAGGTAAGGCTGCTTTTTCCAATATTACTTTTAGTATTGTTTATTTGGATAGATGGGACAATTCGACACCGGAGAACGTAATTACTATTTTAAGTGATGAGCCTACTCAAGTTCAGCCCGTTATTCTTACACTTCTCCCTATTAACACAAATTTATACTCTCGAAGACACTCTGCACATAATTGTTCAACAAGTGAAGTGATCCCTACCGTAAGTTACATCAATTACTTTCAAACACCGACAGTAATGTAACTTTATGCAGATTCCACCACCTATCCAATCTTCAAGGCCCCCTGCAGTTCCTAAACGCTTTTTTGAGCAAACACCGGCTCCCGGAAACGTTCAACCAAACTTCACAAGTAATAATCCGTTGCTTATCGTCCCCCCGACTCAAAAAAGCAGGGGCAATCCTCCGACACCTCCCCCCAGAAGTCCCGGATCTCGACTAGCTAACAAATTAGTGAACAATCCAAAGTCAAAGATAGAGCCAACTAAACATGTCGTTGGAAAACCCCAAATTGGTAGTAACGATTGTGTATTTCAATTCGATAATCATCTTATGCACCAATTTGGTAAAATTCCGCCCCCTCCGGCGGGACCCCCGCCACCACCTGTTACAAAAATCACTCAAAAGCCATCCACTGGATCAACGATTAAGGCAACTCCTCAGCAGGCAAACAAAGGCAGCGTCAGACAAGACTCTAGCATATCAAGCGACAGTTTTAGTCAAACTTCTTCCCCAAGCTACACAAGCAAAACTATGGAGACGCCTTTATTACCTCCCCGTACGCCAAATAGAATTTCAACGCAAGTAAAAACAGCGAACGGAAATGGACAAGAAGAAAGTACAAACTCCCCGTTAACTAAAAGTGCGTCTACCCCAGCTAGTTTGCAGACAATAGTTAGGTTTCACAATGGATCAAATATGTCTTTACATCACAGAGTAAGGGCTAGACTTTTTCAAAAATTGTTTTAATTCGTTTCTTGTAGATTATACGGGATATTAGACGGTCATCAAATCATCCGTATATCGGAACAGTTCGAATAAAATTTCGCTTTGCTCAAGTTGTGATGAACGCCGTTGCTCTAATAGCAATTGGTGGTGGCATGGCCGCATATTTTAAAGGTATAGCTTTAGAAAATATTTTAAGCATTCTAACAATTAGTTTCAACAGCTCATCCCGCATCAGTACATATAGTTAATACTACAAATAATATTACGCTTGGAATTACAACTGTTGAGTCTAGTGATGCTAATCCCGCTCCGGGGATTTGCTTACCGGTAATAGTAGGATTTTGCCAACAACATAAAGTTCCTTATAACTTCACCGTGTTTCCTAATTATATGGGACACTTTGGACAGCCAGACGCCCAGCACGAATTGGAAGTGTATGACGCAGTAGTAGATGTGCGTTGTTACGAATTGGCGGCGTTGTTTCTTTGCTCTGTTTTTGTCCCTAAATGTGGTACGGGAGGCATTGTTGTTCGTCCATGTCGAAGTCTGTGTTTAGGTGCGCACGTCACATTTAAAAAAAAACCTGTATCTACGATCTCTTTTTTATAGAAATGAAAAGACGTTGCGGATTCTTTTTGGATGTATTTGGTCTTGCTTTACCCGATTATTTAGAGTGCTATCTGTTCCCCGAGTCTCCCGATCCCGAAGTGTGTGTAGGACACCACGAAGTAAAGGAGGCAAAAATTCGTTCCCAAAAGCCCAGTAATTCGTTATAGTTAATTATATAAACATATTTCACACGCTATTTTCAGTATGCCCATCGGGATTTCAGTGTGATGTGAAAAGATGTATACCGAGAGATTGGCTTTGTGATGGTCATGTTGATTGTAAGGATCAAACAGACGAGCTTAATTGTAATGAATGCAAAAAGGGGATGATACACTGTGGTAGCGATAAATGTGTAGCGCAAGAGCAAATGTGCGACGGCAAAATTGACTGCCCGCTAGCACAGGATGAACGGAATTGCCGTCAGTATATTTACTTAAAATATTCCGTTTTATGTAGAAAGCAACATTTTAGTAAGATTAAGTGAAAGGAATGGGAACGAGGGCCGTGGCCAGTTAGAAATATTTCGCCCTGAACTTCAGAAGTGGACACCCGCTTGCATAACTCATTGGGATCAAGCTACATCTCCAGCGGCAATTTGCTCTCTACTCGGATATTTGTAAGTTTAAAATATAGCGCCTTTGAAATATTTCACAATGGTAACATCACAGACATGCCAATGGAAGTCGATTATTTAAAGGGAAGGATATTAATGTTTCGCGCCCCGTGCAAGAAACAACAGCTATTTGGAGAATGCACCAAAATAAACGACCCAAGAATATGCTTAGGGAATTTGGATCGTGTAGCGGTACGGCATATCCGACTGTAGATTTAATCTGTACGAACCACAGTGAGTTAGTTTTTATTTCAAAACTCGTTTCGTCGCTATCGATTTACCTTATTTGTTATTACACGAAAGCAAATTAATTTTTTGCAGTGTGTGGAAAGACTCGGAAGTCGTACGCTGAGAGACGGTCACTACGGATTGTTGGAGGTGTAAAATCGAAACCGGGAGATTGGCCTTTCCTAGCTGCTCTTTTGGGCGGACCCGAGGAAATATTTTATTGTGCGGGTGTGTTAATTGCCGATCAGTGGGTATTAACAGCATCGCACTGCGTTGGAAAGTAAATAGTCGGCATTTTTACTGCGATGATTAGTAATCTCTTTTTCAATTAGTCATTCTGATGTGTCTGGGTGGACAATACAACTTGGTATTACAAGAAGGTACGCGCATTCGTATTACGGTCAAAAAATGAAAGTAAAAAGAGTGGTTCCACATCCCATGTACAACTTAGGAATCGCACATGATAACGACGTAGCTCTTTTTCAAGTAACACGTTTTGTTTCAATTGAACGTTAGTTTTAAGATTTCCTTACAGTTGTCAACAAAAGTCACGTTTCATGAGCACCTGCTACCTGTGTGTTTACCTTCTGCCGACCAAGAACTGCCACCGGGGACCATTTGCACAGTGATAGGGTGGGGAAAGAAAGAGGATACGGGATGTAAGTCAAAGGATTTTTCTATGTATTAATCTAATGAAATTTTATGATTCTTGTTTCAGTGTCCGAGTATGAACCGGAAATTAATAAGGTGGAGGTACCAGTACTAAACCGTGATCTGTGCAACGTGTGGTTAGAAAACAGGGATTTGAACGTGACGGATGGAATGATATGCGCCGGATACAAGGAGGGCGGAAAGGATGCGTGCCAGGTAAGATGATATGTAACTTTGGTCAATATTTTAGAAATCATATTAGGGTGACTCTGGAGGTCCACTATTATGTCGCGATAAAGATGATCCAGAAAGTTGGTTTGTAGGAGGCATCGTCAGCTGGGGAATCAAATGTGCTCACCCTCATCTTCCTGGAGTTTATGCTTTTGTACCAAAATATATTCCATGGATTTTACAGCAAATCGCTCAGTACTCTGACTAATGTATCGATGTTCTTCTACGCGGAGAAACAGATATTTTAAAAGTTATCCGCTCATTTCAAATCTTTTGCCAAAAATACGACAATATTATTGGTTCCTTAAATTGATAACGCCAATTTAAATGGTTCCAAAATGCTCGGTTGTGGCATTTTTTGCTTCTACAATTCAATGCTAACACTAAAACTGTGGTAAGGCACATACAATCTAGCTACGCACAATATGTAACATTAGAATGGTTCTCTAGTGATATCTTGTGACAATTCACCTAGTGTTCGAGCGATCCGCCTCTATATGTGATCATGCATACTGCTGTATTGTATACAGCTGTCTCTGAAGTCTAACCTTTTTGATCATGACAATAAATTTTTGACTTTGGAGACCTCTGCAATGCTTTAAATATATTTTATACCCTTAGATATAATTGAATTAGAAAAAAAGAACAATAGTTTTCTATAGATTTATAAAGATGTTATCTAGTGTATAGTGTGCATGGGTCTGCTTTGCGTTAGTTCGAAGAATATTAGTGTTTAGGTCCGAGTTTTTTAACTATACGTTTCGAACTAACGCAATGCGCACTTTTCCAAATTGCGATACGTGGGCAATCACTAAATTAATACCTACTACACGAACTCTCAAATTTAATCCAGACTTTATTTTAGCACACTCATCTCACTCACTCCTTCATACCGTGCGACATTTTGATGACAATAAACTCCTCATAAAGTGAATAGGACCATTAATTGCACTATTTAATCTTATATAGTTTGGATTAAACTCGACTGTTCTTGGTATGTCAATATTTTATATGAGAATTATCGCATAAGGAAAATCAATGGGGGCATATGGTGTTAAACAACATACCTATTTCATATCTTGTATAAAACGATGTGATGTTATATATTTAAATACCGCGACAATAATTTATGTATATATATTATATATACCTACAATATATGTTTACCTAACAACATATTTCCTGAAGCATATCTTTACGAAAAAAAAACTATTTTAATAGTGAATTGTTTCACTTTTGTTAGATCTATACAATAAATGAGGCTTCAAGTAGGACAATACTCACCTGTGTGTTCCTTAGCTTATACCAATAACCTCTAGTCAATGAAATGAGACAATAATATCAAGAATAACCGCTTAATATTTAATACAGAACGCTATGTGCTTTTAAATTTACGTTGTAACCTATGTTAACAATTACTGTAGTGAATATATTATCACATATGACATGTTTTCTTTTTTACCTATGAACTTTCGCCAAAGGGTAAGTAACACAGATCAAAGAAATAAATTCAAAGGTAAGACGAATTGCATACTTTACACGTAATACCACTTAAACATCTTGAACATGGCATTGACATCGTAGTGATAATTGAAACCAGAAGTAAACTAATACGGTACCAGGTATGTACAATGCTGTAGTATACAAATCAATATACCGTCACTGTGAAACTATCTCCAAGAGTTCCGATATTCATTACTAGAACTTTAGGAAGCGAGGACTACTTTAGAGTTCCATACCGACATACCCAAATAGGTCAAGAATAGCAATCCAAATAAAAGTTGTATTCGTGCTAATTTGACGCATTCTATATAAGTCCACTTATGTAAGAATAAAACGAATTTTTATTGCACAGCGAATACGGATTGTATTTTAGCGGTGTTTAATTCAATTTAAATTATTATATTAATATAACGTCGAACGTTTGGACACAAACCGATGTAACGCATTTAAATAGGTATATTAATTTCAATAAGCTGTTTAGTGTACAGATTACGGTGTATCTATTGCAATTTATACATCAATCAGAGCGAGAAGTCGTGGTATTGACAATCCATACACGTTTGTAGCGTCAGAATATTAGCAATATAATTTCTAAATAATCTGCATCGTTTGAGCTTTGCACACCAATTTTCAATAACATACACAAAATTAGTCAATTGACCGTTCAAGCTTAGCAACAAAATCTAATCGATTATAAGAGAATTTCATTTAGACATTTTTATTATTGTAACCAATCGGCGGTATTATATTAAATGAGACGTTTACACGCATGCATATTATATTCGTAATCTTACCGATGTACTATGTACCTTTTTTATTCAGTCAATAGCTACTAACGAAAGTTTGTATTTTTTTTTTATTAAAGGCATCGACATCTAAGGTCATTAGCCTATTATATGTCTAACCTACGCAAAACTTATAGTTTTCCGAATACATCAATTTCCTTTAAAAAAAAAGTATTATTCGATAAATCTGGCTGCAAATTTTGCGTTTGAACAGTGATTGGCAATGTGTCTTTTTTAAAACAATCGCAATCACACAACAAATTTCAAATTGCACCCATCTTAATGACAGAAGTCGCCCAGCTAACTGTTACACAAATACACTAAAAAAAAGTGCAGTCAGAAAAGAGTAAGCATATTACTCCTTAACACAAGGCTTTTAGATCATATGTGGCTACTTTATGAAAAGCTTAAAATGCCGTTCGATTTTCATGAACCAAAAACGGAATGAAAGGAGTACTATGAACTCGCAAACCTTTTTATTTTGGTTTATCTCATTACAGAAAAAATTTTCTAACAAAAACTACAGGTCAATATACCCTAGAGCAGGGGTTCCCAAAGTGTGCGCCGCGGCGCCTTTGAAATTGAACAGGGGCGCCGTGAGGCGTTCCCGTTTTCTCTTCTCGGGAAACTGTAACTTATTAGGCATTCATGGGATCAAAAAAAAACTATTCAAATCGTGCTCGCTGTTAGCACTTCATCGGCAGAATCCACTGTTTCCCGCAATTATGCGGCTTCTAATGAGCTCACTATTTCGCATTAGTTGATGTCCCTTTTCACGGAACATCTTTCAAAACTGACTGAATGATTTGCGACATACTTTGTGGAAGATGAAGTCGAAAAATTTGCGTAGATCCTTTCCATGCTCAAGCCCCACTAGACTTCACAAGAAGAAGAGTCTCATTGAACTCTCTTGCGACAGTAAACTCAAAACTCACTTCGCTTGCTCCGATTTGGTGGAGTTTTGGATATCTATCACAAATGAACATCCAGCTCTAAGTTCAAAAGCCATCAGAATTTTCATTCCGTTTGCAACGTCATATTTATGTGAAGCAGGATTTTCGGTTGTAGCTGTAATAAAGAGCAAATATCGTTCAAAAATCAATGTGGAACAAGAAATGAGAGTGACAGTTTCCAAGTCTGATTCCACGCTTTAACAAGATATGTGGAAGTCATCAAGCTCACACGTCACATTGAAGATTGAGGATTAACTTTTTTTTTTAGAAATTACTCATATTCTTCTGTATCTGTATCAATCCTAAGTTAAGTACATTGTCATCCTCAATTTAAGTTTGTTTTATTTTCGTAGCCCGCCTTGTGTAATTGCACTATATTTCGGCTAAGTAGGGCGCCGAGGCCAATTACTAAATCTGTAAGTGCGCCGCGAACTGGAAAAGTTTGGGAACCCCTGGCCTAGAGAAAGAAAAACGCAAATCTAAAAAGACTCCAATTAGTGTTACAGTAGATTCCAGAATGAATGAATGAATTACTTGCTGAAAATTGAAAATTCCTCCGAGTGTGTATGTCGTTAAATTCAATAGTGAGTTTCAAAAAAAGTATAGAACGACTGGTTGCCGAGGTACCACCTACTTTGAGCGGTATCATTGAATAAGTAATCAGTTTGTTTGTCCACGTAAAAATTCTCTGGATTTTCATGAATTAACGCGCCCGACACGCTGTATAATAAAATTTGCAAACGTTGTTCTAAAACGGCTTTAAAATTTTTGAAATGTGTTAATTAAATTATTTAACTGAAAAATTTCTCTCTAACAATTTCGAAATTGACCAACTACACAAAAGAGACGACGCTCTAAGTAGGTATTTCTTATAGAGTGGAAGCGGACAATGACGATCTTTATGAAGCAAAAAATTGCCCGGTTTTCTGTGTTAGTAAATGTCCCTTAAGCCCCAGGTAACTATGCAGAATAAAAAAACAATTGCGCATGCGCAACCCAACTGTTCTATTTGCGCAATCCCAAGTTTCTTTATTTGTTAAGATATTTAATTGAAATTTGATATGTAGGCACCTCGAGTAAAAGTAAAACTAACGCCGAATCAAAAAAATTGTTTATGACAACTGTCAATAATTTTTTTGTAAAATTTATTCACTATGGAAGAAGTATTTATAATAAACGACGGCGGAAATAGTTACTGTACGCGATATTTGTTTTCCATGCATTTTAATGAGCGTCCCACTCCGTTGGTGTCAATTCTTTAGAAAATGTTCATGGCTTAACATGATTTTGGTAATTGGAGTTATTGTCGAATTTTGGATAAAATAATGAAAACTAAAAACATTAGTTATTTTAAGTTTCCTATCAAAAACAAACCTGGAATGACGGCAAATAAAATAAATTGTGGAAATTCTGTTATTGCCGGGATAGACGATGAAGAATTAAAATATAAAATTGTTTGTGAAAATCACTTTAATTCATATGATATTTACAAAAGCGGCAATCGAAAGTTATTGAGAATCAATTCAATTCCTTATTGCCTTACTCAAAACAAGGTAACCATGTTATTTATTGTCGTTAAAATGACTGATACATTTTTTCAAGATTTAAACTACAAAGAAGATGGCCCTTCTGCCTCATACTGCAATCAAACGTTCAAACAAACGAGAACTATTCCACCGCATTCAAACATTTTTTGCGAAAACTCCAATTCAGCCACAAATTCGACTTTATGTACAGAAATTTTGAAAATGCCATCACCACAAAAATTACCTAGAAATAATATTACATACAAGTTGAAAACTTTGCGCAAAAACCTAAATACGAAAAACGTTCAAATTCATAGACTGAAAACTAAAACATCTCGCTTCTCAACAGGTTAGTCAATTAAATTTTGTGCATAGTTATCAAATTACCGTGCTTTTTTTGTCAAAAAATCTTACGGAAACTGGTACTTTTATTCACGATTTTCTACGAACAGTAGCATTAAATTTTGACACAAAATAGCGAATGTCAATGATATTCAGTTATGAATATCACACGGACAGACGAACAGACAGACGGACAGACAGACAGCAATACAAAATTATAAACAATTTCGAAGATCGTTAATAATGAGAAATACTGAAAATGAACTAATTCGTATATCATTAGATAAAGAAAAAAAATCATTCGATTGGTGTCAATATAAACCCGCTAAGACATAAATTATCATGGGGAGCAGAGCAACGATATGCAAAAAACCTTTTTCCCATGTTAATTGGCTATGTTCGTTTTTGATATATTTTTATTTTATGCCTGTGTACCTATATAATAATTTAGAGGTACTTTTAGCAGAGCAGTGCAGCAGCTGCGCTCGGAAAATCGTACCTTCCAGCGTGTCTACCGAGACCTTAGCAACATCACGCGATCGGTAGACCATTTTTTTTTTGTTTCTTATGACATCAACTTTTTCCAACAAAAATTTCATCTCTGTAGAAATAAGTTCAATCGAATAATTTTTATGCATCTTGCGTGGGTGGTAGACTTGTGATAGCATACTTTATTTTTAGGTATACTTAATTCCTGTACAAACTTTCATTCTTGTAGAAATGAGGTATTTATTAACATGTTCAGAACATTGTTGCAAATTTAGGTAACACCGCCGACGCGGTAGACTACCGTTTTGTTTACTTGTACTATCAAAACAATAAAATGGCAGAATATCAGCTTTGTAGAAATGAGTGCACAAAAAATGTCGCTGCCTTCTGGACTATAATGCCTTGTTGTGCGAGTGCAAAATGTAATAATTATTCACGAAAAACGAAGGGTTAAGATGTTAAATACTTCGGAAGTGAAGATAGGTACGTATGCGCAAAAATTTGTAAACTAAACATAAAATTGGGGCATCCGTCATCATACGAGGAGACGCTGTGATCGAGTCGAATAAGAACGTAGATACTTCTTAGAATAGAAGAATAAGTTTTGAAAAGTTTAGTACAAAATTACATGCAAAAATTAAAGAAATAATCTGAAAGCTATAATTAATCTGATTGATACGATGTAGGTAAACTAACAATGACTATGTAATGCCTTCTCATCTTACTGTAGAAGACCCTTTGAAGATTGAGAGCCCTCTCCCTGTTCTGGCGATCTCCAAAGCCTATTTATGACATATTTCAGTCTATTTTTGTAGTTTTTATTACCTTTTTTACAGTTAGAAGAGTCTAACTCCCAAGCCAGTCGCTAGAGGCGGTACGCGACTCCGTCAATAGATTTACCAAAACCGCATTCCCGTTCCGCGTCATTCCACGCAACCAGATAAGGAAAACCAAGCTAGCCTCAGAGTAATAATAATAATAATAATAATAATAATAATAAGTACAAGTTGTATGCAGCAAGTGGAACGAACAGTAACACATACGGCACAATAAACATGAACCTCGAGCTAAATCTGCGCAGAAATTTCCCATGGAGATTTATCATTGCATACACCGCAAAACCCATAATGGAGTGGATTTCACACAGCTAACAAAACCAGCAGGAATCATGGGAAACGCACAACATACAACAAATCACCACATACAGGCCACCGTAGCCAGAGACTTATGTTACTGTAGAACATAGACCGCGAAGAGACTTGTTCCACACTAATTAACGGTAGCAAAAAAAAGGAGGTTCCAAGCCACAAAATAATTGGGAATAGCTCGACCTTCCTCAAGTGCTTGAGTATATCGCCACTGCACTTGGAGCCGAAGAAATCCAACGAGTGGAGACCATGAGGAGACTACAGGCATAAGGTTAATTGGTTATATGTTAACCTCAGGTTTCTGTCGTTGGAAAGCTGCGCATGTTGGTAACGCCATGTTTTATTATTATTATTATTATTTTATATTATTTATATTATACATTATTTAATGCGTGACACTATTTCAAATATGTGACTTATCGATTTCTTTTGACTCTGAAGTAAGTGCAGTGATAAGTAAAAATCATGCAGTGATCATAGTTACTATAGGTATATATCGTTCCCCTAGTAGTGGAAATTACGAAATGTTCTTTCATAACTTTGCGAAAATCCTTGATCTCTCCCAAGGACTATAACGTCACAACAGGTGACTTTAACATTAATTTTAACTTAAGCAAAAATAACCGTAATAGTTTATTCAAAAGCTTACTGTTATCTTATGGGCTTGATGGCATGTTGAGCGGCAATACAATAAAAATAACTGTTTAGATAATCGTTTTACGAATTTTCATTCCGACAGCTATATAGGTACACTACGAATACTAGATATTATGTCAGACCACAATGCTTTGCTCTTTGAAACTTGCTTAAGGAAATATAGAATTAATAAAACGAGGATCAATTATATCCTTACATTACCGTCAATTTACATGGATGAGTGCATACTCTATGTTCACTCAACTTGAATCTATATATAACACAAATAAAAATAACATAGGGTACACTGCCATTCCACTAGACAAAAAAATAGCATAGTTATTCCTGATTTAAGATTAAATAAAACAAGGACTTGTGTAAACCATAATGGTATTAAATTGTACAGGGTGGCCAACTAAGAATGCGAGGTACTGTATCTGAGAATCTAACCATCGTAGAGGCTTGCGGTAAAAAAAGTTATTATTAAAACGGCCACGAGCAAAACCTGGAAAATATTTTTAAGTTTCTGAAATGACCGCTAGGGGGCGTAACTGCAATCTGGAATCTAAAGAAGTGATTGTTCTGTGAATTCCGCTATATTAACCTAACAAAAAAATGTCCGGTCTTTGAAGTTGACGATAATCTGAACAATTTTTGTTTGACAATTTTTCCTGTATCTCTAAAAATGAAGTAGTGAAGGGTATTCAAACGTTCCCGTAAAGAACACCCTGTACCTTCGAAACGGCTGAGCCGATTTAAGCAAACTCGGATTAGTTCAAAAGAGCTATTCTTCAGCTACAAATATTATACTATTTGAAGTTTTGTTAGTTTCACAGATCACCGCTTGAGGGTTTTTTTCGACATTCTGACAGAAATGGTTAATTTTCTCAAAAAAATTAAACGCATTGGTTCGATTTTTTTCATGAAAAAGTAGTTAAATAATGTCTAAACAAGCTTGCGAAAACAGCATCTCGATATTGCATTGTTTAGGCATCATTTAGGCACTTTTTCATGAAAAAAAAATCAAACCAACGCATTTAATTTTGTTGAGAAAATTAACCATTTCTGTCGGAATGTCGAAAAAAGCCCTCAAGCGGCGATATGTGAAACTAACAAAACTTCAAATATTATAATATTTGTAGCCGAAGAATAACTCTTTTCAATTAAACCAAGTTTGTTAAAATCGGCTCAGTCGTTTCGTAGATACAGGGTGTTATTTACGGAAACCTTTGAATACCCCCCACCACTTCATTTTTAGAGATACAGGAAAAATTGTCAAACAAAAAAGGTTCAGATCTTCGTCAACTTCAAAAACATTTTTTTGTTAGGTTAATATAGCGGAATTCACAGAAAAATCACTTTTTTAGATTCCAGATTGCAGTTACGCCCCCTAGCGGCCATTGCAGAAACTTAAAAATATTTTCCAGGTTTTTCTCGTGGCCGTTTTAGTAATAAATTTTTTTACCGCAAGCCTCTACAATGGACAGGTTCCCAGATACAGTACCTCCCATTCTTATTTGACCACCCTGTATAACCTTCCTTTTTTCCAAAAATCGACTGCACCAAAATTTCTCGGGAAAACACCTTTTCTTATTAATTTTGGTGCGTAGAATCCAAAACAATTCGTACTTTTTCGATCAGACTTCTCAATCAAAAGTTATAGACTAGAAACCAATTTCGAAAGATATGATATCTTATAGCAGACTATATTCAATTCAATGTGTTTTTGTCAGGATACCACGATTTTATGTTCACCAAATTCCCAGTATCAAAAATCACCTTCAGAATTGACAGTCTTAACCATGGTACAAACCTACTCATCTATTTAAAAAGTTTTTCTGACTAGATTACTTCCGATCTAAAACAAGTCCACTTTTTATGGCATAAAAAATCCGTTTTATATACCCAAGCGTAAAAGCGGCGCAAAATCTTACATATGTGGGTGGCAAACTGCAGGTAGGGAACGTAATTTGTAAACTTTCCGATTACTTTTCATTTATGGTTTGGAAATGGGAAAAATGAATTTTTATAAATACGTGCGAAAACTGCGTTATTATAGTACCATCTAAGTCTCATAGTGTTATTAATAGTATCTGCAAGGAATTTGATTCCAATACCTCAAACCTCAACAAACAGCCAAGTTGACATGTTCCTGAGCAGACACAGGTATTCTGTGCATTTTTCATTAAATATAGATACCTACTCTACAAAACAAACATCAAAGAAATATAATCATTTATTGAAACAAAAATTGAGCACATTCCCACCTGCAAGACAAATTAAACTGTAACGCAAGACCATCCCTCTCGCATCCTTACGAATCTTGTCTTCTGAAAATATTAGGTCAACATAAAAAGTAGCCGTATGGTGTAGGTTTTGTAGATAAGTGATTCAGAATTCCCAGTAGGTACCTGATTCTGTAGAACAGACAAGCTCCACGCAAGCAGTGATCTACTTATTTCTCCTAGGAGTTAATTGATATGCCATAGCCATTTCTAAAATGACAGTTGAGCAATCACACACTCCAGAAATCGATGTTTCTTAATCGGACATACCCACATTACCTTATTAGTTGCATTAACTGCCGTCACAAAGTTCAACTGGTATTAGTAGAATTGGAAATAGACATTTGACACTCATACACAAAAAAATGACTAGTGAAAAGTTTTAGTTTGTTATAAGTACATAAAACTACAAAAAACTATTTAAGTACATTAATTGAAATAATAACACTATAAAAAAAGCTAAAACTGTTCATTTATAAAGCAACTAAAGAATTCATGTCAAATATTGCAGCAACACATAATACATATATTTGTAATCACATGTGGTGAAGTGAACAAGGAACAACACAAACTTGATAAATCTCGCACATCAGAATCAGCTACACAAGTCGAGAAAGAAGTTACCAAGTTTGTTTTGGTACGAAAATCTCATACTTTGTTCCAATGCGTCACTTAACATTAGGAATGTTTTACAAACAATCTTGGACGTTTCACTTTACAACATTGCCAAGGACAGAACAATCTTTATAATACTTGAAAATGTGTCCATTTCTTGATCGGCATGTATTCAATTTCACACTTCACCCACACGTTTTTTTATTATTTATTATCTACTACTACTTTATTTGGGAATGAAAGGTGTTCGTAAATTTAAATAATAAAAGAGGTATGAGTGAAAAGTAATGTTCGAGACGCTCCGATTTACACAATTATTTTAGAAATCAACCGTTACCTTCTTTTGTAGATAGACTGAAAAGTTCACAAGAAGTAGGTAACATCATCCTTAATACATTAAACTCAGTCGTAGATATACGCGATATTTATTTGAGCTGGACATACTTTCCAGTAATTAGTTAGTGTATCTTTAAATAGAGGACTCTTGTCAGATGCCGAAGTTTCGTTGTATAAAAACAGACAATATGGTCAAAGCCATTAATACCAACCTAATCCACAACGTATTTCAGAACAATCTTTATTCTTTACAAAACAGAATGCAATTTTTTAAATACTTTTTCGACTGTGTAAGAGTGTGATTCAAGGAAGCCCCTAGTTATTTATGTATATGATGGAACCTTGTGGCAACCATGATTTTGCAAAAAATCTGTAATAAATGGTTCAAATGGTTAGAGAATTTCTTGTAATTTTTATTTCACATTTCTTATGACTGAAAAATCAAATAATGCAATATCCTGATAGAGAACAAAACATTTGGTATAGTGGTTATAAAAGAGAAACTTAACAAACTATGAATAAATAAGTTATTTTTAGTACTTTTTATATTTTTTTTTACAGTAGTGCATTTATTTGTTACCATCACACGAGTAGGAATTGTAAATTTGGAAAACATTCAATCAAAACCTGATGAAATTTTACTTTAAAGAAATGGAAACTACAAGAACCCTACTCCCACCAAATATATAGGACCACATCACCGAATTCCTTATTCAATAACAAATATATTTTACTGTAACTGTATCGGGATTTTAAAAATAAATAAGAATGAGAGAACAGTATGGTGCAAAAAGGATAAACCACTTTTCTATGAGATTGTAGTTAAGAAACTATGACAGACATTTTTGGAAATGTCTCCAATAAAATAGAAGATGAAGGAGGTTGATGAATGACGTTAAAAGCAATCATTAGTGCATATTACAAATTAACTCAAAAATATTCACACCAAAAGCACCTAATGTTAGCAATAAATAAAATAAATAAATAAGTAGATTTCAAGGTACAATAGGTTTCTTATCTCTAATCTGCACTTTGGACATTTGCGGCCTAAACGATCTGTGCATATTCATTTGAGGATAAAAGTATACTTATTTTTTCAAAAAGCTTTATTTTTTAAACTAATTGAAACTAACTGGTCCAAATATATTGATATACTATCTAACTGCAACTTTGGCAACCATGCCTTAAGTTGACCTTTCATAATCAAAATCACTGTCCCCAGGGACAGACAATTTTGATACCGATTATGTGGTTAGCGATTTCAGTTTTATTCAAAAAAACAATGACTATTCCTGTTAAGAATTCTGTTCCGCATACTAAGCACTGAGATGATAATTGCAGACCACAAACAAAGAGGTATGAACCGCTACTTTAATTGTGAAGCAAGGGTGTAGTTGATGCTATATAAGAGACACTTCTGTTAGTAGAGTCTCGACTACTCCAATACCTTCCAATGCTTATATTTCGTTTAAGATAAACGTATACAGTTTTTTGTGAGAAATTTAGCCCTCTATAAATCTCTCGGTTTGCCCTATGTTTTGAAAGAAATATGTGCAAATGTGATTTTCGTAAGAACTCTCTGGATGGATGGATGGTAAGAACTCTCATGGAAATATTAATTTTTTTTAAGCTATCAAAACAAAAACTGCTGCTTATTAATTAAAATACTAATCTGGCAGGTCTTGGTATTTACTAAAATTGTTACTACTACTACTAGCATAACTTCAATTTTTTAAATAAACAAATTTTCCAGGCCACATTAAAATAATCTCAGAGTGAAGTTTTCTGTTTCATTTACGAGTCAACAAAAGTATGGCACATGGTAGCACGAAAACAAATCAATTAAAAACTCGATGAATTTCAAAGACAAAAGGTTATTTGACCAGAGTGTCAAATTTCAAAAATTTCACTTTCTAAAACTAACAACATTAAAAGGAGAGCAGATTGATTTGGTCCCAAAATGGCACATAATTATGAGATTTTGTGTATTCGGAGCTTCTGCATGTTTAAAGCCTTTCTGTGCTGAACAAAGCAGAATTAGAACAATTCGTACAGTCTCCACGGGTAGAAAGACCAATATGACCCATTTGTTGTGTTTTCAATTGCACTTAGTGGATTAGGCTTAAAAGTTTGGAACGAATGGAATGATAATGGGTGAGGTTTGTAGAGCAGCCTTAGATCCGACATCCCCTATTTAAAAATAATGTACCCACAAATGGTCTTCAATTGTACGCCCACAACATGCTCCTTCGCATTTTTCTAGAATAAATACTGATTTTAGGCAAAACCGCCGACCAAGCCGCTAATTTGGAAATAAATATACAGGAGTAGAATCAAAGTAATCCAGCGCAATTGACATATTCTTAATTTGCGACTGAATTAGTGAGATTCTGCCACGGAACAGCATTCATCACCTTATTACTAACGCATTCATCACAATTTAAATAAAAAATTCAAGGAATAATACACGAATTAATGACTAGATTAATAGTAGTGTGTGCAAATGAAACTTGGTTAACTAACTACTGTTCTAACCACGATGGAAATGCCGAATTTGGAGTTTTTACTTTAATATTAAATTGTTTTAACGTCGCCTCCAGCGCGACCTGGTTACCAGAAAAGTATGCTGAGATGGCATTATGAAACAATAATAGTTGCTTATGCATCACCTTAATCTGAAACAGAAAGTAAGTCAATTAATTCAATTACTTAAAGTCATTGATTGTATACTTGATTATATTCTATGAACAAGAAAGGCCAAATAGGAACAATTTAATTAATGTATCAAACAAAAAGTCTGATATCACTAACCAAACCGTTTTTTTCAAGTCACCTTTGTAGGCCCTAAGTTATTAATACAAAGTTGTTAAATCACCGACTAAAAAGAATGTTCCGCTAAAGACATGGCAACAGTTCTGCACACAGATTTAAAGAGGCGAGAGCAGAAAATTACATGCTGAAACCAGCCCACGATGTATTTGGTTGACATACACAATAAATTGCAATATTGACTAAACCGTATAGAAGACCCCAAATTCTGTTTGCAATGAAGGCAATGGAAAAAGCGATAGAGTGAGAAAGTTACATTCGGGACCGATATATAGGGTGTTGCTTTTAAAAAATACCAACATTGAGTCAAATCTGAAAAAAGTCAACACAATTTTTTGACTACGCCACAGGATTCTACGTAAAAGACACAGTTTCTACCTTTATTTCTATCTTACATGGGTAGCAAGATATGATAACATCCCAAAAGGTCAAACTTTTCGTTTTCACCCCGTATCAGAATTCAATAAGCGATCAGACAGATCGTAATATCACATTGCACTGTTGCAATCCAATTTTAAAGAGTTTAATCATGCATGGGGAGTATAATTGTTGATTGGTTTTGAGAGGGTTTTTGAACTATTTTTATTAAAAAGTATTAAATAGGAGGTTCAAAACCGTGATAAAATAGACAAAAATCAACAATTTTTCATTTAAAAATAATCAGTAAACTCTTGTGGGTACAAATTAGTCCCAAAGTCTATGGTTTCATTTTTTTGGGTTCTTTTCAGGGTATAACAACAAAATAATTTGTTTATAAAAACATACGCGTGGATGTCGTCCTAAATTTATAGGTGACAATTTTCAGAGTAAACCTGAAATTTACATTTTTATTTATTTTTTATTGGCGACCAATCAAAAGGCTGTATTTTGATACCACACCCATTAAAATCGGCCTAATAATTTATTTTGTATTAAGCCTCAAGCAAGAATGCGCAAACTGTTTGCACCGACAGTAGATAGATGTCTCTGTGTTCCTAAGCACATAAATTTACCCCGTTTTTTTTACAAAGGAGGTGGCCCATCGTATCCGTAGTATATAATCATCGCTTATGATAAAAGAATCATACCCTATTTTCGTCGAGAAACTTCATTTTAATCGTTACCTCCGTGCGCAACTTCATGAAATTCTGACGGTGCATCTCAAAACTTTTTTGAGCCTCATCGAAATCTACAGTGCCGTCCGCCTTCGGCATTAAAGACTCTAAATCGGTACGATAGGCATCGTACTCGATCCGAGCAGCTTCATATTGGCGCACGCTTTGTAGCGTATCTTCTATCGTTTTATTGCATAAGGTGTTTACGGACGATGTGAAAAAGTTAAGAGCCCCTAACAGCGTCTCTCCGTTTTTTGTTAGATTTCGCTGCGTTTCAGAATTGTATAAGAATTCCTCTTGTAATTCGGGCGATTTCTGAGCGAGCTCGGAGAAGGCCTCTCCTAAAGCATGCTGTGTTTGAACGACATGATAAAAATGGCTCGTTAATGCTCTAGATAACCGTAAAATATTGGAATACTTTCTTTGCGTTTCTCTTAATTGCTCTATCTGTGCTTCTAGTTCTACAAACAAAAAATGTGGAATTCTTTAAAAAAGGGACGATCAACCTGTGTCTACAGTTCTCGAAGATTTTCCTAATTTTTCGAACATCAATTGCTTCGTACATTTGTAAGTCGATATTGACCAGTTCTTTAGATTTTCTATTCTGGAGGAAGTCTTCATTATTGTTGCATCGTCGTTTTGGGTGGGGGCAGTAGGTGTTAATATCGCTGGCGAACTTGTACAAGCAGAAAGACCGGTCGGCACCGACCGAGAGTATGGGCACGCAGGTTTCGTTTCAACTGCAGCTACTACGTTACTACTCCGATTCTCATTTGAAGGTGTCTCCTTAAGCATATCGTGAATACTTGTTCGTTCCGATGCAGAACTTTTCAGCTGAGACATTCTGTGCAATAATAACATTAGTTGGAAAATTATGACTAAAACTTCGTATCAGTACCTAATCACAAAGTCACAGCTGCGAGTAGTTTGATTTGCCTTTTAATCCTATTATCATAGTAATATAAAATTTAGGGCTGATTTCCTTGAAAAATTAAATAAATAATTAAAAGACTACTGCGATACCCGAAATTTACCAACTCAATTTTGCCAAGTTGTACGGTGGTAATGCTACCAACCGTGATCCATTCCAGTAACTATGGTTACAACATCTAAAGAAGCGTTTACACGAACATGGAATCACAGTTATTATGGTGTACCTAAACGTAGGGGTCAAAGGTGGAAGGCACTAGGCAGCATTTGCATTTTAAAGGTGACCGACTAGAAGTTTTTTGAAATATTGAGGCTTAAAGCCGCTTTACATAGGCAATTTTCGTGCAATGCAAGAGCAATGCAAGTTAGAGATACGTTACTGCGCATGTTCATACGCAATTCAGGTGCAAGAAAAATAAATAGAGAAAGTTCTATTTCACTTGCAAGTTTGGCGCAAGTTCTAGTAACTTTTCTGGTAATTTTGTCAATACCACAATTTATTTGGTTTCGCGTGTGTTATTTTGTGTGTTTTTTTTAATAGCAAGCGCCACCACATAACAAGCTGTAGCCAGTTTAATTTCCTTTTGTTTGCTCATACCTAATGGTCTATTTTATTAAGTTTCAAGAATAACCTTCTGTGTAAACAAACTGAAAAGTTTCAATTTTTGAAAAATATGTTGTCAGTACTGCAACACTCAGAAGGCAATTTTAGATTGCATAGCACAAGCCTTGCATTGCACTAAAATTAATGTAAAGCGGCTTTTATAGATAATCTTCCACTAAATACGGTGGCGAACCTTCTAGAGCGTTATCAAGGCGTCAAAGGATTATTCACCGACGATAAATAGTAAAAGCGGACTCAATCTTTCTCGGAAATCTCACATGCGTACGTTCGAGAATTTTTAAGAAACTTTTTGATTGCTATATGAGCAAGTTAAATATTGTGTCTAGATTTTTTAGTCTTAACATTAATTTCTCAGATAAATAAACACAAACAAGGATACTCCAGATAGAATACTAACAGTACAGCTAAAAACAAGCGAGAAGGACAGGCTTTTGTAGCAGTATATTAGCCGAAAAAAGATGAGAGAGTTGAAGCTATCCTTCTTAGGAGGGGCGACATCCCGTTCACCCGCAATTCGCGTTGAAAGTTTGGACCCCCCCCCCCCCCAACAGTCAGATCTTGTCTGGGATTACCACATTCACTTCTGACGCCCCCACAGTCATATAAATGCGCCATTTTGGTGGATTTCGCTAAAAACCCACCACAAAATAGTACTCCAGTTTTGGAGAACTTCTCATAGCCCGAGATTCTATTGACCGCGATTCGAGCTTTAAGAAACTTTAAACCGTAGCTGAAGGCGCCCGAAGTCGACTACCCCTCGGAGATGCGCACCTTGCAAAAGGTGGTTCATTTCGCCCCTAGGAAAACAAACAAACAGACGCAGGGGTTGTGCGCGTTTCCAAAATCTTTCCGACGACACAATTTGAAAGATAGGAAACAACTGCAAACTCACCACGTTAGTAAACCACGCTCGAAGATGGCGCCCAGATGTCGCTGACCCCACATCAGGTAACCCCGTCCCTATATTGTTGTTAATTACACGGTCAGGTAGGTCCACGTACACTCCTATCGTCTTTCTACAGGCGATATTCTATGGGCCCTCATTTGCTGCCGGCCCGCCAGCCAGTCGGCCAAAGTACTTTTTTACAAATAAAAATGCGCTAAAAAAAAGACATTACCAAATTAAAAGCCGATATCCTAGTTATTGCTACAAAATAAAAAGCAACATGTCATGTGTCGACCTTTCTCGGTTTCGCAATGTCCCAAACGTTTATAATTGGAATTTTGAAGCCTTTGGAATAGCTGGTGCGGTTTCTTCAAATCATTTATTGTTTCTGGATTGTCATACAGCCTAATTTTTAGAAACCCCCAAAAGAAAAAATCGAGCGGTGTAAGATGCGGAATGTGTTTCTGGTGAAGGGCATGGGTTACAAATTTCAGTTTCCAGTTCCAGTACGTGACGTTAATTGACAATCAAAATCAGCATAAAAACGGTGGTATCACGATTTCGGACTGGTGTTACTCTGCTATTAGCGATAATAAGCGTAGATGGTATGGATGATCTTTTTTTTTTTGAAATTTTCGTTGTGATGTAAAGGAGAAAATACCTTTTTAATTACACTCGTGTATGATATTATATGCGGCGCAAATTTTTTTAGGGTTTAGGCCGTTGTTGACTCTTAATACGCGCAATACGCCACTGGGCAGAAGTTTCTGCTAATGTGGAAATCGGCAAAATCTATACTGCGGAAAGCGCCATCTGTGAACCATGCCGATACGGTTAGTTAACAGCAGATTACTTTTTGGTGGGAACTTCTTGATGGTTTGCAGATCCGTAACGATGCCGATTTCGTAATCGAATTTTTTAAATTTTGCTCTTTACGTGTGGACAAACAGGATTTGGGATTAAATTGGGAAGGTATGTGATGGGTAATTGCGGAAGGTTTGGGTGGATGGGCGTAAAGAGAGCGGTTTTATAAAAAGTTAGGTTAGTAAGTACGACTCTGAACAATGGCAATGTACTTTTAGAGGGGTACGCAATATACCAGAACGCGGTACTTAACAGACAAATCCGTGCACAGTAGGTGTATCGTGGCGGTATGTAACTCCATCTTGGATTAAACTCTTTTTGGGAAGCCGGCTTGTTGTAACTAAAAGAGACGTTATAATTTTCCAGCAAATTATATTAGCCATCCACTTTATCAGATGTGTATTAGGAGCGGTTAATTTTGTGCAAAAAGTTTCGCCGTCAAATACTAGGTATGATGTTTTTAAGTTGCAAGTGTAGGCTTATCCGATTTTTCTAAAGACTAGTAAAGAGGAATGCCGCGCGCTTGTCTCATAAAAGCTGTTAAAATAATGTGGATTGCAATATTTGAAGATGCTGATATATTGTAATGCTGATTATATGTTCTAGATTAGCAAAACTGTGCTTGAAACAAGGTAACTTTGGGGCAGTGTTAAGTGTTTACTCTCACTGGCCTTGTGCTCTCCTACACATGCTTTAACCCTTAGTAATTGGTTATGGTTGTAGTGGTTGCTACTCACACTGCTGGAACATATGTCAGGCGATTAGCAAAAAGCGCAAGATTGAGCGCCCGCATACACAAACGAAATATGGCTGCAGCAAGTCGTGCTAGAATCTATGCCGATGTTAACTCACACAAACCTAGGGAGTACTGGGATTATGAAAGTTACGTCGTAGACTGGGGCCAACAAGATAACTACCAGTTGGTGAGGAAGCTAGGAAGAGGCAAATATAGTGAGGTGTTTGAAGCAATCAATGTGACGAACAATGAAAAGTGTGTAGTCAAAATTCTAAAGGTGCGATTTTATAAACGACACGGAATAGTGCTTTTATGATTATTATTTACAGCCTGTTAAAAAGAAAAAAATTAAACGCGAAATTAAAATATTAGAAAATTTACGCGGGGGTACAAATATTATTACGCTACAAGCTGTTGTTAAGGACCCAGTTTCACGTACACCGGCTCTTATTTTTGAACATGTAAATAATACCGACTTTAAACAGCTATACCAAACCCTTACGGATTTTGATATTCGTTATTATTTATATGAGTTGCTCAAAGCATTGGATTATTGTCATAGTATGGGAATAATGCATAGGTAACGTTTATTATTATATTTTACATTTAACGTGTTATCTGAATTTGTTTTAGGGACGTTAAACCGCATAATGTTATGATAGACCATGAAAATCGGAAATTACGATTAATCGATTGGGGTTTAGCGGAATTTTATCATCCTGGCCAGGAGTACAATGTACGCGTAGCTTCCAGGTATTTTAAAGGACCTGAGTTATTAGTCGACTACCAAATGTATGATTATTCGTTGGACATGTGGTCATTAGGATGTATGTTGGCCTCTATGATATTTAGAAAAGAACCCTTCTTTCACGGTCATGATAACTACGATCAACTAGTTCGTATCGCTAAAGTACTAGGCACGGAAGAATTATTCGAATACCTCGACAAATATCATATAGAACTAGATCCTAGATTTAATGATATTCTTGGAAGGTAAGTTTTTTTGTTTTATTTATATTAACACTAAACGTTACCTTTACTTTTGGGCTTTTAATTCAAATAAACAGTAATTCCAATCTCTCCTGTTCAGACTAATTTCATGGGAGGGTATGGTTGTTCACTCACATTTGGACCCTTCTTATGACATACTGCGTTTCGCACCTCCAGATGCATTATGAGGTCTTATGGACTTAATACCTCTTACTAATTTGCCTTATTCTTTGATAACACTATCCTTGCTCCTCACAGCAATGATGCCAAACCTAACATATGATTAAATGCTGCAATTGTGACGTTTGGCAAGCATCTACTTCTACTGTATGTTCATAAGCAATTAAGCACCATACTGCATTCTGGATGAGTGTCAAGTTAAACAAATGTTGGTAGGGGAGGCACCTCTAATCTTCTTATAATTAATTCACTTAATTGTACCAGTGACAAGCTCCTGTAAAGAATGTGCTAGACCATTTCCTCTCTTCTACAAATGGGTGGGTGTTCCAGTCATGCATATGTGCTTGTTGCATTTACGAAGCCCCGAAGGTTTCCCTATAAGTAAACGTCACAATCCTGTCGAAAATTTCATCACACTGTGAGAGAACAAAAATTATTTAAAAAATTGACATTTGGAGGGTCACTTGTTTGGTATCGTTGAATTCAGAAAATTGTTCAAAAATACAATAATATACAGGGTGCTTCATTTCAAAATGCATAGCTATTGGCACTTCCAACCACACTGGGAGTAAAAATAAACCGATACAACAAAATATCGAAGGATCTTCAGTATTACAATCACTTTTATCGACAATTTATTTCAATCTTACAAAATACATTTTATAGTTAACAAAAATGCATCAAATTCATATCTTGGTGCATAAATAACGATTTTGACATGTGTTGATGAAAATCCACGTGGTCGCAAAAAATAGATCAAATTCATGTTTTGGTCATTGAGATAATGCTCTTGGCCTTTTTCCCAACGATTTTGACATATTTCGATCAAAATCCATGTGGTCGACAAAAATACATCCAAATTATGTCTTGGGCATTGAGATCTCTTAGTTCTTTCCCAACGATCTTGGTGCATAAATAACGATTTTGACATGTTTTGATCAAAATCCATGTTGTCGCCAAAAATAGATCAAATTCATGTTTCAGTGATTGAGATAATGCTCTTGGTCGTTTTCCCAACAATCTTGGTGCATAAATAATGATTTTGACATGTTTTGATCAAAATCAACGTGGTCACCAAAAATAGATCAAATTCATGTTTTGGTCAGTGAAATAATGCTCTTGGTCTTTTTCCCAACGATCTTGGATTTTGACATATGTTGATCAAAATCCATGTGACCTCGGAAAAATAATTTATCATCTTTGAATCACACACATGCGGTTATCAAATGTGCACGTGGTGTACTCTTTCAGCATCAAGATAATGCGTTTGAAAGCTTTTAAAACTCTAAATTCATGTGTAAAAAATAATTTTGGGTACATTTTGCTCTAAAACTTTTGACCAAGACCACAGAGAAGAGTTATATTGAATTGTTACACATCTAAAGTCATAGGGAATAATCTAGCGAAAGTCCGAACTCGATACATGACCTAGGTAATGAAATATGTTGATTTCTATTATATTGAGCCCACAGTTTTTCCTGTTCCCGATTCACTAGAAGTCCTATAACTTTTGTTCCTGTTGAACCAGCTTCCTGAAAATCAATAGCGTCCGTCCTTAATGCCCAAATTTCAACACAATCGGCCACGGCACACGAACGGACGACAATCTGGTGTTTTACTTGGGTATCTGAGACTACTAGGGCTCGGGTTTTTTACGCAAATAATAATAATAAATGTTTTTATTACATCTATATACATTTAAAGGCGAAGTTTAACATGAATTTTTGAAATGAGTATTTTTTTCGTTAAGTATGCACTATATGTTTTGTACGGGCTTAAAATCATCTCATGCGTATGCCACAGAACGTAGCTATATTCTTGGTTGTCAGGCATAACGCTCGGCAGCTGCGAGCGGTCGGCACCTCTATATCTCTTATTAATTGTACATGTTACTTTGTTATATTGACATATTTACATCCTGCTATTCATCAGAAGTCCTTTTATGCTGTGTACATTGGACGTCTGTGGCAAATAATGGTGTTAGCTTTATTTTTAGACAGTATACGCGCACCTTAGAGTATCCTATTCACGCTCTCTCTAACTCATTGTAATTTTTTTAATTTTATGGTACTATCTATGCTGCATCCTTTCACTTCGTGAGCTTTGCGCCGCCCTCTCTATATATCCGTTTGTACATTGTTTACGGTTTATGGTATACTCAACGGCCGGCGACGTTGCCATGTTAAATCGTTTAGTTTTTGCATTACATTATGTTAAATAGGAAACCTTTGAGTTTTACTACACCCAGTAGGTTTGCCCATTACTGGATGCATGTATTTCCAGCGCTGGATTTACCACAAAGCCCGGCCCTAGGGGCGCACGGTTGCCAAACCAATTATTTTTTTTTTCAAATTAAAAAATGCACATTTATCATAATTTCAGCTTAAAAAAAGAAAAGCAAATCACAAGAGAAAAACCACCGAAATATCATATCGTACAGCCATTAAAAAGCCGTTTAAACAGGCAAAGCGAATATTCTCAATGGAAAATATCTCGGCGCGAAACTTTTCTAGGGAGAATTCTCAGGTGTTCATTTGTTGGGACAAAAATTCTGTATTGCCAAAATGATGTTACTGGAGGTGGAGAGGGGGAACTTGGACGTCGACGAAATTTGGTATTTTTAGTGTGAAAATGGTGAATTGAAAATAGAAAAAAAACGGGAAAACAAAATTGAAATGCGCACATTTGTAGGCCTTCTAGGTGCTTTACTAAACTATATTGCTCTTACAGAATGTCGTTTGGCCCCCTTCAGAGCCGATCAGTTCTTTTAGAGGTCTTTGAAAGCCCCAGTAAAAGTTTCCCTCCACAGGAAGAGCTTTTTCAAACCTTTTTTCATTCGCTTAGTTCTGAAAAAGATTAAGATCTAGAACACAGCTTTCGAAATCTCTAGAAAGGAGTTCTTAGAATGCTCTTAAAAACTCTAAATGCTGTCCAAAGTTTTATAATTACTTTCATGAGCACATAAATGCTTTCCAATGCAATACAAAACAGGTTTTTAAGTGCATTCTATGAAGTCCTTTCTAGAGATTTTGAGAGTCGCGTTCTACATCCTTTCTGTGACTTTTCAGGTCTTAATCGTCCTACACTACCTAATATCCAGCTCGACGATTAGTCCACACTGTGTTATACTGCTTCTCCCCTGTTTGTCGCAGCAATGATGAAATGGAAAAGCAGAAGGGGCAGCTTTACGGAGCCAGAGATTTCTAAATTTTGATACCGTTACTGTACTGTACCATAATTCTGAGGTGAAATAATTATGTTTCTTGTAACAGTCGTAGTTTTGGGTTTTATTTGTAAGTCAGAATTCTGAGGTCAAAGTTGTGATTTTGACAATTAAAATTAAGGGGATGCACAAAATGCTGACCATTTACTATATTATGTATTTTGGGGATCAAAGTACTATTTTTGATGGTTTTCATTGGTTTCTGCGAGGGCTCTAGGGCCGACACTAAAATCCTTCTTTGGTTTTCTGCTACATAGGTAAGTTATCGCATGGCGAGAGTCAAAACTGTATGTGGAGATCCGCATGTAACATGAACTACGGAAAGTGAGTATACATTCCATTTCCAGAAGCGTCAAAAATACGTAAAAATTTACCCAAATTAGGCATTTTTCATATAACTTTACAACTGACTCAAATACGCAAAAATAAACAAGGTTTTCTGAGTAGCGCATTTTCCATGAATAGATCAGTATTTCTCGAGAGGTCATGTAACGGACTATTTATGTGTAGAATAGAAAATACGTTAACGCATAAGTTTCCGTATACATAAGAAACTTAGCATTGCCCAGTTTGCGCATACGCACACCTGATGTTTAAAATATGCGCTATGCTTGTCTTTATTAGAAGGATCTTTGGTTAAAAATTCAAAAAAATATCTATAAATAAGAAAGTTGACGTAGCGCAGTTTGAGCATGCGCACATCTAATTTTACAATATGCGATATGGTTGTCTTTACTAGAATAATCTTTGGTTTAAATTTTAAAGAAATATCTATAAATAAGAAAGTTGACATTGCGCATCATACACACATGAATCGTCAAGATTTTTCTTTGTTGAGGTGCCAGAGCTATAAGCTAACGTATGCAAAAATAATGAACCAAGTATCTTGTGAACTGTAGGAGTACTTATGGCCTTGGACGGATGGAGAAAGTACGTGGCTTATTATTACTGTATGAGATTTTAAAAAGTGTTATTTAATATTTTGAAGTTGAAGATAGGTGTAGGGCATTTACATGAAACCTAGAATTTTCTGGAAAATCCGCAAATGCAATAATATACGGATATTTTTATTTAAGGAAAAATATTTTGTTTGCCATGCTTTTTTGAGGCACCCTGTATACCTATATGTTGTGTCAAAATATGCGCAATTCAAAAACAAAATCGCGTAGCGACTTATGGAGGGCAACGGTACATTGCCCCCATGCCCATTCACATTTATTGTCTTCCTAATCTAATATGGTACTGAGACCGAGACAGAGGTGTTGGACAGAGACGCAGACTTTTGTTTTTGCTTACTTCAATGAAGTCGTTCAAATATAGACGAAATAGGATAGGACCAAGGATTGATCTCTGCAGTACGTCACATGCAATTTCTTTCATTTTTTTACCTGACGATTTGTAATCTCTTTTGTAAGTATGATTTGAAGAGTTGATTTGGGGTTCCCCTAACAATAAATAAAAATAGATGCAAAAAGTTTAAACATTTCACACATTTTCTATTTTTTGGCAATGTTTGGTTTTAATTAAATTTACTGTCTATTAATATCTCACCCACACATCATTTGTGTTTGCAATCACCACTAATTACACGATAACAAGGAATAGAATAATTAGCATTAATTTTTCATTAAATGTTTACTGTCATTACGCTGTTGTGTGAAATATGCAAAATCGACAACATTTTTTTCTACAAAATGGACACAAATTTGTTCAAAATATAAATTCTCCCGACAAATCATTGATTGTTATAAGAAATATAATGAGCGCTTTCCCATTTCGTTCAGGTTAATTTTTGGAGCTGGAATGTGTGTCACAAGTGTTTGTGCTGCCCTAATTCTTGACCGTTTTGCTTGGACGTCATGTACGAAGTGTGTGGGTCGCGCACCTCTGATTTAATTAAGCTGCCTTAGTGAGCTATAGTAAAACATGATGTTTTCATCTTTAAAGATAATGCACTTACACAGCCATCCTGTCTTTGGTGTGTCCTTGTCCCGATTTGTTAGTTAATCTGAATATGCAAAACGGAGGAACATATTTCTATTGGGCAATTTTTAATATTCAATTCTTTTTTTAGTTATTTTTTGTATTTTTTATCCCTTTATACAGCAAAGGGACACACAAAAATAAAATTGAAAAAATTATTTTTAAAAAAATGAAAACGCACTTGTTTAGTTCAGATTACTCTTATTAAAAAAATACCTGTTTTCCTGCATTTGCCAAACTGAAATCTACTGGAACGGAGCACGGTCAATCAATAAATTAACAGAGTAATTAGACATTACCAGTAAGTATATCTTATAAATATTTAAACAGAAAAAGTAACAAGTAACGTAAACCTCCCCAAGCCCAAAATCTAATCACTTCTTCTCATGGAGATCATTTGTGCAACTCAATACCATTACACGGGGTGTAGAATATAATTCTCTAAAGAGATTGGGTAGCCGACGTTACTACCAAATAAGTTAAGGGTCCAAAATGTGGAAAGTACGTTTTGCGTTTCTTCTTTAATGTTTTGCAGAGCAACCATAACACATAGTAGGGAACTAACAGCTTTGACTAGGTTTTTTGGTATGACCGATTTGGGAAATTTATTTTTTTTTGTGTGTTCTCAGTTCGCAATATCATTCCTGTTTCCTGTCTCCTCCCTAACAAAATTAATCGATAAAAGCGCCTCGGGCGATGGCTTGGAACGAAGTAATGATCCAGGAGCTTTTTTTAGGCATTCGCGAAAAAGATGGGAGCGATTTGTACACAGCGAAAATCAACATTTGGTTTCTCCAGAAGCTTTAGATTTCTTGGATAAGTTATTACGTTATGATCATTTGGAAAGACTAACGGCACGAGATGCTATGGAGCATGCTTATTTTTGTAAGTAAATTAAGTATTCAATCAAGTGTTTCTATAGACATTTTCAGATCCTGTAGTAAAAGAACAGTGTCGAATGATGGCTGTTGGATCCTCCTCTCCTACACCGTTAACGGGGACTTTATCGGTGGTTGTAGGGGAATAGGAAAGAGTTCGGGTATTATTCTGTCATCTAATTGCCTTTTTGGCGTACCGTGTTGCTACGTCTTGCAGACGTCGGCCATATTTTAGTAAATATCAGTTTAGTAAATATTTTTTTCTTATTAATAAATTTCTCAACGCGCATTTTTCATATTATTTCTTTTATTTTGTGTTGGTAGCAGGAACACTGCTAATATTTTTGATAAATGTATTACTGAATTCAGTCTTATGATGATTTTTGATTCGAACAACCCGTTTACAAACAAAACTGAAAAGACATTATTGTAACATATATTTATTACATGAAAGTTGTACGTAATAATTCTTATAAGTTTCTGGTAAATTTATAATTTGAAATTTTGTTGTACATAGTTCAATTTCGCTCATTTGATGTTTGTTACAATTGAGTTTTGTACTCTTATCGTTTTTCTATTGTAAATAAACCACTATGAATTTATCGCCTTGTTAATTTATCCCACTTTTCTCGGAGCCGTATTGTAGTAATAATAATAATTTGTTGTCCTTCAGATTACCAAATCGAATTTGGCGACTCTAAAGTAAATCCATTTTTCCAAACGGAGTATGTAAAGTTGTCTAACCTGTTCCGAAATATAGCAAGTAGAGAGAGAAGAATGAATTTCTCATTCTGCTATACTTATCTTTGTTGTGTCCTTACCTTTCAATGGAATTAAATCATAAATGAGACAGAGTCTAATGATACTTGCCTAATGAGGTTTTTTGTATTGACATTAAAACTAAAAAATAATCATAAGATAAAAAACACTCACGTTTATTGTTACTATTATTATTATACGTTATGTGTAAATTCATTAGGTATGACCGTTGAGTGACGTTATTCAATGGTATGACACTGATGTGAATTCATTTCTTAGAAAACTGTGTTGTTTTTCGGACATGTCCAAATGAACATGATTGTATATCTTCCGATAGTACTAAAAATGAGGATGCGCTGGCAGCTCTGATGTCACTAATATTTTAGTGCTGCAGATGGTGTTAAATTACAAGCCCATTTATTCAGAAACAATCAATCATTGTATGTATTTCAAATTCTTTCCAAAATGGAGTGTCAGTATGGAATATATCGCTTTGTAATGGTGAAGGGTGCATATCACATTAAACCGCCACTGCAAATTCTCATATTCAACAAAATTGGGATTTGCATTCAACCAATTTTGTGTTCATTACTCAATACAAAAAGCCTAGACACTACGCCACATAGGCAACAAACAAAATTTACTTTGAAAATAATTTAATTTGGTCCCATCTATAAATATGTTAACAGAAAATAAACATTTGAAATTTTAACAAATACATATTTGCGATTATACAAATAATTTAACGGTGTTCATGAACCGGTGGGTTGGGATTAAATTCCACGACGATGCTTTTGGCTATCAAGTCATATCCAGTACGTTTAAATTTGAAAAAGACTAAGACGAAACAGATCGGCAAGAGAAATCCAATGAACACACTTTTCATGACCGAGCGAAAAAGGGCATCTTTAATACTTAAAGTGGTCGCAGGGTGTACTAAAACGACGTCCTCCCTTTGTAATGGTATAAAACTTGTGGCTTCGACAACCGCCAATCCCATATACTGTTTACCTGGAGTCGCACGTTGCATCACCAACCAATAGGTCTAAAATATGTAAAACGAAAATTAATGGCCCGAACTGTTTAAAAAAAACTCACTTCGTAGCAACACACAACGCAGCGATGCAAAAGTTCAAGAGTTAAGAGTTCGACTGACATTTGAGTGGCAAACTGCGGATTTTGCAATTTTGTCTGCAATTCGGCGATACTGATGGTGTTTCCCTCCACATCACTGCAAAGTATTGTTAAGTAGTTGTGAAAACTTCGGTGGTGTGACTTACACGAAATCAATGCTTTCCAGTATCAATAACGTTAAGAACATCTTTATTACAAATAATATAATAAAATCGATTATTTCGGCCAACAAACGCTTCCATATTGGTGGTATCTTATAACCATAAAATATGATAGGGGGACCTACGAAGAAATTAAATAGCTTGCGCACATTAATATGCAATTGTTACGTTGCGATTGTGTGACATTGTTATTAAGTAGTATATTGGTAGGAATGGGATTTTGTCGTAAGGTGGCTTGCTGAATGCCGTCGTGCCATGCAGCCATTGCTTGTTGATTCTGCCTATGCGTTTCTTCGACCCAAGTTCTTAACTGTCGAATATACTGTTCTGTGGGACTTGCAGTAGTTTCACTTTCACTGGTAGCCATGGCTAAACAGAGAATTAGAACATGTAATTGCAGGCAGTTAATAAATATTGAAGCATTACCTGAATGAGGGAAGTGTTGTATACAAAGAAAAGTGGAGCCTGAAAACCGCTTTGAAACGAAAGTATTTGTGCTATTTGAAGGTTTCTAGCTAAAAAACTTCAGAAGTAAACTGAACTCTCAACTCAATGTTTTGCCACTGTCGAAAATCAAAAATAACGACAAATTCATGGTTGTCAAGCTGACGTTTCGATTTATAACAGTGTTGCCAATGTGTGTGAAATCCCGAGACGTGCGGTAGACGAAATTTGGGAGTTTAGTGCTTTGCAAAAAAACGATTAATCGTAATCAATAATTATTGATTAATCGATGGCCGATAAATTAAAAAAATTTATCGATTAATGGATAATTAGTCATTTAAAAGTAGTGCTTTGCAAAAAACGATTAACCGATACCACAGATTTAAAGTGCCGATACCTTATCGGTAATTATCGATTAATCGAGTGAATAAATTTGTGTAAAATTGAGACAGAGTCGTTTAATCCATGGCATGAAACGAAACGTGAGCAATAGACAAAAATCGCACACTGCGAATGTCCAATAGCCAACTTTGTTATAAAGTGGAACAATTTGATCGAAAATTCGGAATTATTATGGTAGGTTCTTGTAATAAAAGTACCAAAAATCGTACAGCGCATGCGCAATAGACAACTTTCTTATTTGGGAAGCAATTTGACAAAAAAATTTACGGTATGTTCTTCTAAAAAAATAAACAAAATTAAGACACAAACGTATATTTTGGTGGTATTTGTGCGAAATATGCTCACTCTAGCGAAGCCTTTTTGCCACCCTATACGATGAGATTAACAAAAAAAAAGAGACTATCAATATATTGCTGCTTTTTTGAGCCGAATCAAATTTCGTTTCGCTCTTTTTGCTTTAATAACAGGACTTAAAACAACCCTAACTACATTCTCACAACAATTAAGCAAGAAAATTACACAACGATAAAACAATAAACAACGGCGACTGCTAATAAAAATATCCAAAAAAGATTCGTGACGATTTTTAGTACTTTTCTAAAAATGAGACAAAGTATCTTTTTTATAGAGGCACTAGATTCCTTACTTTCCTGTGCGACCAATATACCTAACCATCAATTTTTTTTCACTTCCACTATAGGGATCTCCTAAACCATAAGAGATACATAATCGGTTACATTGTCAAAGTTATGCAGAATTTTATGCTGATTAATTATCCTATTCATAATTTTTTGGGGCTCTACAAATAGCGACATTATGGTGAAAAAAGGGAAAAATATCATTTTCTAAAATGCGCCGGCGTTCATTTATTTTCAAAGATATTAAAAAGTACGTTCAATCAACTCAGTGATTTTACAATTGTGATGGTACAAAAATAAAAATTTTATGACATGGGTTTCCAGTAATTCACATCGGTTTCCTTATTTCTTATCGATGCCAAATCGGATTTTGATGTCGCTCGATAGAGAAAAAATTACAAAATCCGCGATACCAAATAGGTACCTACTTAGTGTTTTACAATATAATATGTTTATTTACTATTGTTTAGCATTGTCGCCGTCAACACGGCCATTGCCGTAAGAAATACATTGTAAATTTCATACCAAAAATTCAAATTTGTCCACTTTCTAAATAAATACTAAGTATTTGGTATCTTTGTAATTTTTTCTCTATGGAGTAACATCCAAATCCGATATGGCATCCAGGAGCGGACTGGGTAACTGCGGGCCAGGTGGAATTGCATAGTAGGTTACGGACCATTAAAGTATTAGTGTAGTAATGAGGGTGGCGAGGGGGGTTAGCTCTGAGGTGCACCACAAAAACATTTTTAAAGTACTCCTTTTCCGAAAATAAATTAGCATACAGTTTTTTTTTAAATTGCAGTTGATAATTAAAAGTAACAAAATACACAATCCACACGAGATGCGTCGCCTATCATTGTATTTCAGCACTTTCATGCTACGACAAAAAATGATAAATTCATTGTAAAACACTTCAATTAAAACAGAATTTTTTAACAACCTAACATCAACCCCAATTAGAGAAACGTGTGGTGTTAATAATTTATTAATAGTGCAAGAAACTAAATACAGCACATACTTATAAATTTCCAACGGGCCATTATGATCTACAGGCCAGGTGGTAATCGCCACCCGCCCCCCCGGGCCAGTGCGCCCCTGGTTATACACTGCCTTTTTTTTGAGCCGCGAAAAAAACATTGTCTCAGATCGCCCCGGAAAAAAAATTTTCTTATAGAATGTGGCCTGTAGAATCCATAATTTCAAGTTCCAAGATTGGGCTACTAGTTCAAAAGTTACAGCCCTTTGAATTTTTTTTTCGAAATTGGTTTCTAGTTTATAACTTTTGATTGAGAAGTCTGATCGAAAAAGTACGAATTGATTTGGATTCTACGCACCCAAATTATTAAGAAAAAGTGTTCTCCCGAGAAATTTTGGTGTAGTCGATTTTTGGTAAAAAAGGAAGGTTATACACTGCCTTTTTTTGAACCCCGAAATAAAAATTGTCTCAGATCGACCCGGAAAAAAATTTTCTTATAAAATGTGGCCTGTAGAATCCATAATTTCAAACAGTTCCAAGATTGGGCTACTAGTTCAAAAGTTACAGCCCTTTGAATTTTTTTTCGAAATTGGTTTCTAATCTATAACTTTTGATTGAGAAGTCTGATCGAAAAAGTACGAATTGATTTGGATTCTACGCACCCAAATTAATAAGAAAAAGTGTTTTCCCGAGACATTTTGGTGTACTCGATTTTTGGTAAAAAAGGAAGGTTATACACTGCCTTTTTTTGAGCCCCGAAAAAAAAATTGTCTCAAATCACCCCGGAAAAAAATTTGTCTTATAGAATGTGGCCTGTAGAATCCATAATTTCAAACAGTTCCAAGATTGGGCTACTAGTTCAAAAGTTACAGCCCTTTGAATTTTTTTTCGAAATTGGTTTCTATTAGTCTATAACTTTTGATTGAGAAGTCTGATCGAAAAAGTACGAATTGTTTTGGATTCTACGCACCCAAATTAATAAGAAAAAGTGTTCTCCCGAGAAATTTTTGTGTAGTCGATTTTTGGTAAAAAAGGAAGGTTATACACAGGGGCGGACTGGGTACTTACGGGCCATTAAGCCATTAAAGTATTAGTGTAAAAATGATGGTGGCCGGGGGAATCCATAATTTCAAACAGTTCCAAGATTGGGCTATTAGTTCAAAAGTTACAGCCCTTTGAATTTTCTTTCGAAATTGGTTTCTAGTCTATAACTTTTGATTGAGAAGTCTGATCGAAAAAGTACGAATTGGTTTGGATTCTACGCACCAAAATTAATAAGAAAAAGTGTTTTCCCGAGAAATTTTGGTGCAGTCGATTTTTGGTAAAAAAGGAAGGTAATACACTGCCTTTTTTTGTTGCTCGAAAAAAAAATTGTCCCAGATCGACCCGGAAAAAAAATTTTCTTATAGAATGTGGCCTGTAGAATCCATAATTTCAAACAGTTCCAGGATTGAGCTACTAGTTCAAAAGTTACAGCCCTTTGAATTTTCATTCGAAATTGGTTTCTAGTCTATTAACTTTTGATTGAGAGGTCTGATCGAAAAAGTACGAATTGTTTTGGATTCTACACCCCAAAATTAATAGGAAAAAGTGTTTTGTCCAGAAATTTTGTTGCAGTCGATTTTTGGTAAAAAAAAGGAAGGTAATACACTGCCTTTTTTGGGGCCCGAAGAATAAATTGTCTCAGATCAACCCGGGAAAAAAATTTTCTTATAGAATGTGGCCTGTAGAATCCATAATTTCAAACAGTTCCAAGATTCGGCTACTAGTTCAAAAGTTACAGCCCTTTGAATTTTTTTTCGAAATTGGTTTCTAGTCTATAACTTTTGATTGAGAAGTCTGATCAAAAAAGTACGAATTGATTTGGATTCTACGCACCCAAATTAATAAGAAAAAGTGTTTTCCCGAGAAATTTTGGTGTAGTCGATTTTTGGTAAAAAAGGAAGGTTATACACTGCCTTTTTTTGAGCCCCGAAAAAAAAATTGTCTCAGATCGACCCGGAAAAAAATTTTCTTATAGAATGTGGCCTGTAGAATCCATAATTTCAAACAGTTCCAAGATTGGGCTACTAGTTCAAAAGTTACAGCCCTTTGAATTTTTTTTTTCGAAATTGGTTTCTAGTCTATAACTTTTGATTGAGAAGTCTGATCGAAAAAGTACGAATTGATTTGGATTCTACGCACCCAAATTAATAAGAAAAAGTGTTTTCCCGAAAAATTTTGGTGTAGTCGATTTTTGGTAAAAAAAGGAAGGTTATACACTGCCTTTTTTTGAGCCCTGACAAAAAAATTGTCTCAGATTGACTCGGAAAAAAAAATTTCTTATAGAATGTGGCCTCTAGAATCCATAATTTCAAACAGTTCCAAGATTGGGCTACTGGTTCAAAAGTTACAGCCCTTTGAATTTTTTTCGAAATTGGTTTCTAGTCTATAACTTTTGATTGAGAAGTCTAATCGAAAAAGTACGAATTGTTTTGGATTCTACGCACCAAAATTAATAAGAAAAAGTGTTTTCCCGAGAAATTTTGGTGCAGTCGATTTTTGGTAAAAAAGGAAGGTTATACACTGCCTTTTTTTGAGCCCCGAAAAAAAAATTGTCTCAGATCGACCCGGAAAAAAAATTTTCTTATAGAATGTGGCCTGTAGAATCCATAATTTCAAACAGTCCCAAGATTGGGCTTCTAGTTCAAAAGAGCCAGCCCTTTGAATTTTTTTTTGAAATTTGTTTCTAGTCTATAACTTTTGATTAAGAAGTCTGATCGAAAAAGTACAAATTGATTTGGATTCCACGCACCCAAATTCATAAGAAAAAGTGTTTTCCCGAGAAATTTCGGTGTAGTCGATTTTTGGTAAAAAGGAAGGTTGTACACTGCCTTTTTTTTGAGGCCCAAAAAAAATTGTCTCAGATCGACCCGGAAAAAAAATTTTCTTATAGAATGTGGCCTGTAGAATCCATAATTTCAAACAGTTCCAAGATTGGGCTACTAGTTCAAAAGTACAGCCCTTTTGAAT